TATGATAAAAAAATTTTATTACTTTACAGTTCGTGTATATTTTTTTATTTTTTTAATATATTAAAATTATTTATATATTAATTAAAAAAATTAAATTCTATGAAACCCAAACATGTAATTAATAAAAAATTAAATTATCTTAATTCAGGAACTATACCATTGATTGAAATTGATCATTCTGTGTATATTCCTTATTAAATAAGCAGAGAAAAGAAAACAGGACTAAACTAAAATTTCCCCAAAATTAATTCCTATCAAACCAAAGGATTACTGCAGCTCAAAATCATTTTCCAAGTTCATCCACGAAAGTCCTGAGGTTGTTGTCCGAAGACCCTCCTTCATTGGCAGCTGCTCTTATTAACTCCTTCCATTTCCTTGCACTCTGTCTCATTTCCTCTCCTCCCATCACCAATTCCAAGCACCTCTTTATCTCATCTCCTTCAACCATCCCTTCTTCGTTCTTCTTCACTCTCACCCCTGTCTTCCACAAGTCCTGCACGAGCTTCGCATTCGTCCCTTGATCTGTCCACTGCGGGAACGCCACCATTGGCATTCCAGAAGCCAAACTTTCAAATGTTGAATTCCATCCACAATGAGTAATGAAACATCCTACTGATGGGTGTGAGAGAACCTCCACTTGTGAACACCACGGTACTATCATCCCTTGCTTTTCCAGCTCTTCTTTGCAACTCAACTTCTCCTCTTCCTTCTCTCCTTCTCCACTCTCTCTTATCACCCACAAGAACGGGAATCCAGTCCCTAATAACCCTTTTGCAATTTCCTCCGTTTGTGCTTTACTCAGCACAGATATGCTTCCAAAGGACACATAAATGACTCAACTTTCCGGCTGTGAGTTCAGCCACTCCATGTATCCTTTAGTGCCCTTGTAAAGATCTCCTCCAAAGGAAGTATCAGATGGATCTTTTCCACCTAAGAAGGCAGATGGCATCAACGGTCCAACTCCAACCATATTGTACTTTTCCATGGCTTTTAAAGCTTCATGCTCCAAAAAATCAGAGGTGTTAACTAGTATTTTTGGGTTTTTTCCTTCTTCATCAATAATCTCTAGTTGCTCTTTCATTGCTGGAAGTGCAAAGACGTTCTCATTTGAAGGGTTGAAAAATGAAGGGAGATCATGGCTAGCTAGAGGCGGCAATCCGGGTAATTCCACCACAATTGAGGGGTCACTGAAACTGTTCCTAATGACATCTCCATAACCATTGAAGTAAGTGTAATAGATGTTGAAGATGGCAGCAGGTTGATTCCAAAGAAATGTTTGGGGGATATCGAATTCACGTGCCACCACGGCCACCCAAGGAATAAAAATAGTGTAAACAACACGGGTAAAGCGCGTGCCTTGGCTAATGCTGGCGGCGATCAACTCTCTAAGCGTTTGAGAACCGCAACGCCTAACCTCGGACATGAAATGGTTCATATCACCGGTGGATTTGAAGCCTTCATCATAACCGTCGGAGATGGCAGCAAATGATAAACCATCCGGAGGGGTGGTTGTGTTCATGCGGCGAAAAGCAGAGATGGCTGTCACGAAGGTAACCTTAACGCCGATGCGTATGAGGCGCTTGGCGAATTGCAGCGAAGGGTTTATGTGGCCTTGGGAGGGAAATGTAACAAGAAGGATGTGAGGTTTCTCCATTCTTGCTAAGGCAAGACAGGGAAATTGAAATTTTGGACTAAGAAGAAAGCGTAGTATTAAGTGGACAGAAAGTTTTTAACTGTGGGGAGGGAGGGATTTAGAGGGAATAAACAAGGATTATAGGACTGAAATGTGACGTCTGTGGTGACGATTTTGGAGCTTATGACTTGT